ATGATTTTTTTAACTTATGTTCTTAGAACACTTGTTAAGGGTGCCTTTTTGTCATAAATGCATACAAAATAATATAAAAGTTGATATTAATTTTAATATAAATGTCAAGTAGATGAATTTAATTAAATAATTGATAAATTAAAAGTTAACTGTTGTACCTATGATTTTGATGATTACAAAATACATTTGAGTGACTAATTGGTTCATTTAAGTGTGTAGTTAAATTGCTAAAAGATTGCAAAGTAAGTAAACTTAGATTGCAAAGTAAGTAAACTTTGACTGCATTGAAAATGGACCAAAAGGCTTGAAAAATGTGCAGAGAGCCGGCTTTGGTGAAAGTGAAGTGTAGAGAGCTGGCTTTAAGAGTTACAGCCGGCTCTACGGGTTATGGGTGAAAATTTCAAGTCCGTTGTTTGGCGTGTGCGAAAAACAAACGCAAAGTTGGCTCTGACTTTGTAACTGGCTGTGATGGCACATTTAATGCACAACGGTCAAGTTATTTGAAGATTATTTAATGTGTTTAAAGTTGGAATCCTAAAGCCGGCTTTATGGTTTGCAACTGGCTATTTAAAAAAATAGAATGTGTAGAAAACACACAAAGCCAGCTTTATGTTTTACAGCTGGCTCTACAAAGAAAACAGAACATGCAAGAACCCTCAAAGCTGGTTGCAAATTTTTTAAGTTGGCTATGGAGCTGGCTCAAGAAGTTTAAGCTGGTTGTGCTGACAAATCTGCAACTCAAATTATGCGACCTATAGAGCATTAAATGACCCCCAACAGCTAGTAATGACCATTTTCGACCATGGGGTTATAAATATGGTTGGTAGAAGATCTGGAACAAGTTTGAAGAGCTTTGTATTGAATATCTCTACTTACCAACTTGTGCTTTAACTTGAGTTTTTGATCTTTGAGAGATCTTTACTTGTAATCTTCTTCTTGTTCTATTTGGGAGTGATATTGGGGGTGTGATTATTCCTTCAAGAGTGATTTGTAGAGAGGATTGTTTGGGTTTATCTTGTAAAGGGGTGAGATTTGAGAGAAATACTCATCTTCTTGTAAAAGGATTGAGTGGCTCCTTTAAGCCACTCTTGATTTTGTTAGTGGAGAGTGTAGAGGAAATCCTTGGTGAGTGAAACCAAGGTAGAGGATTAAGCTCCAAATGATTGGACCAAATCTCTAAAATCATTGAGCAAGCTCTCACTACAAGAAAAATGGTTTTTAGTAACAGAAATTTGTGATGAATTTTGAAATCATCACTATAACTTATCACAATTGTGACAGATCTAAAAAATTAATCACAAATGCATACATATTTAATGATAAACAAAAAAATTCATCATAAAAAATATATTTCATCACCGAAAAATGTTCATAGAGATAAAAGAAGTTTTTGTTGATAAAAATCATCACTATAATGCATTACAATTATGAAAAAATTTTAATATTGGTCACATATATCTTACACATTTAATGATGACCAAATAATTCATCACTAAAAAATATATTTCGTCACTAAAAATTTTCAATTTTCTCTAATCAATGCATCCCACATCGATAAAAAACACATAAGAAAATAAGGTTTTGCACTATAAATATATCCTATATCGATAAGAAATATTGAAGAAAATAAATTTTTGCACTATAAAACATGTGAAACTCAATAAAACTTGAGATTAGTTTGGGCCTAATTAATTTTAATTGGGTTTGATTAATTTTAATCAAAATTGATTAGTATTGAAATAATAATATTTTTTATTAAACTTTTGTGATAAATTTATATATTATTTTTTTATGACAAAATTTTTGTTAAAATATATGTGTTGTAATTATATAAATATCTTTTTTATTTAATATCAATTTTAATAATTAATGACTAAATTTTTCATCACAATTACATTTGTGACGAATATTTTTTTGTGACGAATAAAATTGTTATAAATAACTTGTTAACAATGTCAATTTTTTCTATCATTATAAGATTATTTTTTGTGACAGGTACCTAGTTTGTCACTAAGAGCATTAGTAACAAGGGTTTTACTAACGGTTTAAATTTTATTACTAATAATCATTTGTGACAAAAAAATAAAGATTTAATGATCAATAATTTAATTACTAAATGTTGATTTTCTTGTAGTGTCTTCTTCCTTACTCTCTTTAATTCTTTGTTTTGTGGTTACAAAGAGAAGGAAATTTTTGAATTCCAATTCACCTCATTCTTGGAGTGCATTGAGCCAACATTAACTTCTATTTTTTGACAATAAATTTATGATAAAAAAATATATTTATTATATTTTTAATCTGTGACATAAGGACACAATTTAGAAAAACCCATACTAAAAAATGTCACCAAAAGTTAATTCTCCAAACCTTTCAATGCTTGAGGTGCCTTGGAAGGATAAACTCTATTCATGTCCAATGAGGAACAGCTTACTAGTTAAAAACTTGAATTTTAATATTAAAAATCTCAAATTCAAATTTTAGAATAGGTGGGAGGGGTTTGGAAAGAAGAGAGATATTTTTTATTATATAATTTATCATATGACATATTAAAAAAAAAAAAAACAAACTCTATCCATTTTGTTGAAGTATTTTAATAAAATAAATTAGAAATCAATTTGCTTAGTAATTCGGTTAAAATATAGCAATAAAAGTTTGGTTGAGTAGGCAAATGGTAATAACTAATTTAGAAACTTTAATTTAGAGTTAAAATCAAGGGTTACAACATCTACAATGCTAAACAGTCAATTTTTCGATATATTAAAAAAATAAATTTTAAAACTAAATCTTATATAAGATGAAAAGTTAGAACTAAATTTTTTTAATAATTAATTATGTGAGTTCACGTGAGACCCATATCAATGATCAATAGTTATCACAAATTGTCCTGAATTTTAATTCTCAAAAATGATCCTACTTGTTACCATTCATAAAAAAAGAAAAAAAAAAAAGAAAAAAAAAAAGGAGAAAGTTTAAGTTTGGTGTGTGTGTATATATATATATATATGTATGTATGTACACATGTCTGAAAGGCTAACAACAAGGATATATGATACATGTACAACAACGATTTTGAAATTCAATAGTTATATTACATCAAGACAAGCAACATTATTTAGAACAAGCATGCATGTATGACACACGTATAAAGCACAACGATACTAGTTTGGAAGAAAGGTGACAGGTTGGGATGGAAGGTTGTATGGCTCTCGCTGGCTTG